ACAACTAAATAATTTGTAGAGTGAATATAATAGCAATTCAAGTCAAAATGAAGATAATCATTCAAGTCAAAGCAAAGATAATAATTCTGATCAAAGTGAATGTAATATCAATTAAGACATTGAAGAAGATATTAATGAAGAAACTGATATTAATAAAGAAACTAATATTGATGATGATATAAATATGTTATTATTATCATTATTGAATGTTCATTATTCAAAGTTATATGATACCTCTTTGGAACCATCATATAATCCAGTACAATGTTTATACAATCCTCTACTTTTAAAAGAAAATTATGTGATACAATAGATTGTTATTTGGTTATTCTTATTTTAGCGATCATTTATGATTACCAAAACTGAAATTATGAGTTTAATTATCTTTTTCAGTCAAGTATTAACATTCTTAAACATATTTCAATTTTAAAATTTTCCAAAAAGCCAGCATTATATCAAAAAAATTATTGTACAACCCAATTCTATTCTCAAATATACAGTATGTTTACATTGCTAATTTATATTTGCCTACAGAATTGTCTTTGAAAACTTCAGAACATACAAAATGTCTTACATATAGAAAAATATTAATAAAAGCTATTAGAAAATTAGGAGAAAAACTTAAGTACAAAGTTAAGTTATTTGGTTTAAAGGTTTTTTAATAATCAAAACCTAACACTTAATTTTTATATTAGCTTTTAGTAATTTATCCTTACCAATTCATTATTACAAGAATTTTATCAATATTAGCAGATGAATCAAATGAACAATTAATGGATTCACCATTTAAATAGCAAGTTGGAGAGGACATATTAAGTGATATCTATGATGAAAAAGTTTGGAAATAATTTTTCGATAATCATAAATATCTATTTTTTATAAAAAATAAAACTGATGTTGAATTGGATTAGCTCTTAATATTGATTAGTATACTCCATATAGTTAAGTTAAATGAAGTTGTGCACCAATATATTTAATGATTCTTAATTTTCCAAGACACATCAGATATCAAAATAAAAATCTTATTCTTATTGGTATTATCTCTGGCCCAAAGGAACCAGAAACAAGTCAATTACAGAATTATCTTTAGCTGATGGTTAATGAACTAAAGCAGCTTTGGAGTGAACAGCTACTCAAAACTATTTGATATCCTATTGGATGTATGTTTCGATATGCATTGATCCAAATTGTATATGATATACCAGTCGCATGTAAGGTATATATTATAATAATAATATATATATACATATGACTCATAATAATAATGGTTTATAATTATTTGACAAAAGCAACACTTAGTTGGTTCTTAATTATTCACTGTTATTCATATAGGTTACAGTATTAGCTCTATATTTTTCAAAACACACATGCTGCAAATGTACTAGAGTTTTTTCATGCTTTTCAGGATCATCTAAACTTGATTATTCTGGTTACACACAAAAAGATCCATCTTTGATTAATGCTGAACATTGACAATTAGCATTACAATATAAACTTAGTAATTCAGTAGCACAAAAGAAATTATTTCAGCAATATGAAATCTAATAGACTTGTCTGTTCGAATTGAAATATATTAATATCCCCAAGTTCACAACAATTGATCCTATGTACAATATATTTCTAAGTACAAGCAAATATATAGTACAACATGCATGAATGAATGGTGATTTACCAAAGCTTAGTATTAAACAATTACATGAAATTCAGAATCAGATTGATGCAATTCTATTACCAGCTGATATGGGACATATAAACTTTAAAATTACATCAGGCTTTGATGCACTCACAGCTGACCAATAGAAAATATAGGGTTTGATTTATTCAATATATGTTTTGCCCAAATTCTTAATGAAGCTGATTGACAGTGTTGGCAAGCATTTGTTACTGCTGTATTAATATAGAGTCAAAGAATTGTAACTGAAGCTGAAATTGAGGTTAACTATGCAACTATGATGGCATTCTTACAATATGCTGAACAAATTTATAGCAAATATTTTTGTTCACCTAATATGCATTTATACAAACATTTACGAGAATGTATAATTGATTATAGACCGTAGTACTCATTTTGGTGTTTTGCTTATGAATGCTATAATGGGCATAGTTTTTTTTTTAATAATAATAATATAACAATTATTATAACTATAATAATTTATTTATTTTTAGTAAACTTGGTTCATTTTCTAACTCAAATCATAATATGGAACTAGAAGTTCTCAAGAACTTTAATTGTCAAATTTATATTCACCAAATTAAAATCAAAGCTTATCATTACTTGCTACAAGATTTTTTATCATCTATGGATTTGATTAAACAAGCTAATATAGAAAAAACTAGAACTTTAAGACACTATAATTTTTAGTTCAAGAGGCATTAGATTTTTGAACAATGTCTGGTAGATTAATCAATCACACTTTAACTGGCTTAGAACAATTTTCTGGTTATTTCATTAGACTATTTCATGATATTATCTTATTAACCCAAATAGTTAGATTTCTTGTTCAATATTATTCAGATAGTTATTCAAATTATAATTTTCACAATAAAAATTAATTACCAGAATCAAAACAATCAATTCTTGTATCTTTGACAACTCATCAAGTTATGGCTCTTAAACTTGAAGATGAAGTATATGGATCATTTTTTTTACATTCTGATTTGAATTCACATATACTTGCATGATGGCAGCTAGATAATGAAGGAGTTAATTGGCCAGAAACAATTAAGTTTTCTTTAAGCACTAAATATCTTTATCTAGTTTAAAAACACCAATCAGCCATTATCTTGCTATAGTTGATTGGTATAAAAGTGATCTGCAAAAACAAAGTTATTTTTGAATTAAATCCTGAGATAGTATATTCAAAAATATATTGTCTACAAATGCTGATGAAAGCTATCATGCAGAATTGTGGAAAGAATAATTTGTTGAGAGAGGAGCTGCAACAATATCATCAATTCAGAGGATAATTGGTCGATTTGTTAAGAGCAATAGAATCAAGTTATCTGGAAATAAAAAAAAAACATATTGTTGTTATATCATTAAACTGAAAATTTTCAATATATTGGTAAGTATATTTATATTGAATTATATATATATATATTTTTTTATGTAAATAAAATTGATTTCTGATTAAAATTTTGATATTAAATTATTGCATCAGCATCATTTATATATAACTGTTTACATTTTTACTTAATTATTTTTATCTCCTTTAATCTTACTAAAAAAATTATTTTTCATAGTGAAAGCTACTTTAAATACCCTTTCGACAAGCATTACTAGTTTAACTCAAATTGTAAATGAAGTGAAAACTATTCTAAATTCTTCCGATGTTAAAATTCAACTTGAAACAACAAAGAATTCTATTAACTCCTTAAAATGTCAATTTGATATTTTGAATATAATTAGAATGAGTTTATAACCACTATGCAGTGTATTAGTAATAAACATGGAATTAAAATACAATTCCTTGAAGATACATTGATGGATGCAACAATTATGTTTAAAAATTTATCAACTTCAACTTCAGCACTTTAAGATACTGCAAACATTATATTATTTCATATTCAGAGTTATGATAACAATATTTTAAATACAACAAATACAACAAACATTTCTCTATGTGCTATTACTATGGCAAATCCTGTGCTTACTGCAAAGATTCATGACAAGACGTGTTACTTTAATAGATTTGATAATTCTGAATCTTAACTACATAATTATACATGATCATAATTATGTGTATAACTTTAAACTTGGTTCTAAAAATCAAAAAAAACAAAAGAATCACTCAAAATCATGTCAACCTTTTTATTAAAGAATTTGATATTTAGTTTGAAAACACATATTTATTTTTTAATTATATTATTTAAAACTTTTATTAATATCTAATATTCTAAATTATTTATAGAAACTAATAAAAAGTGGAATGAAACTATGATCACTAAAATTGCTGAAGCTTACTTTAAAATACTAAAAAAAGAACAAAATACTACTCCAGCTGCAAAAACTTTAAATGATCAATGTGCATGGTGATGTAAATGACATGATATAGTAAGTATAAATATTCAGGTATCAGTTGTATGTAATTATTATTATTTATATTATTATTGCTATTATATAATTTTTTTTTTTAAAAAAATCAACTAACTGTTTAGCTGCCTTGAATAAAATTCCTAAAAATCAATTAAATCATCCTAAAATTAAAATTAAAAAGTTATTTTCTTTTGAAGCAACATTTCTGAAAGTATCTAATTCTGAAGAAATTGCAATGTCTGGCTTATCTGATAAACTAGATATATCTTAATTACCTAGAAGAAAATAATTAGTACTAGTTTTTCCCTAGATAAGTAATAAGATATAATATATATCTTTCATTATTTATATACTATTACAAAACTAAAACTGCACTAATATTTTATTGTAGGTGAATCACATTTGTGGTCTTGTAAAAAATGTTATTAAATAAAATTGAGCAGAAAAATTAAACTCTAGAGGCTGTTATTCTTATACTACCCCTCTTCTGTGTGAAATTATTAAAATAGATGATCCAAGATGGATTACAATGCAAACAGTAATTCTACTGAAGCCAAAAGATCTTCCAAATTGAGCATGGAACCAGATTTATTCAAGTGAATATCTTGAACATTCCAATGATCTTTATAAAGAATAATTATGTGAAAACTGTTGAAGTTTTAAAATAGTACTATTTTTATTTTATTGTTCAATTATATTAAAATTTGCATGTAATATTAATATTCGGATTTTAGAGTATTTTAATAGTATTGCTTAATAAAATTTTAGTATAATATCTAAAAAACTATTGAAATATTTATTTTTATTACAATTATTTTCTAAAAGTAATTTATAAAATTATTCTGGAAGTAATCAATGAAAACTTTTGAAAAACTGTTAACAAATGTATGTCTAGAATACCTGAGTAAAAGTTGCATATTATATCAAATATATGACATGTTAAAACATTTGTAATAACTATAAATAATTGAGTAAAAACCTTTAGAAAACAGTAGAAAAACTTAATATTTAATGAGGGTTTTCTAACATTATATATTTGGAAGAGGTTTATAGCTTTACCTTTGATATTAGCCATAGCATAAAATAATTCAACTATGGATAGTGTATTAAAAAGCTCAGTTTGTGATAAAGCAACTCAAAGAGTATCATCCATGTATGCTAATACAGAGCATTGTTTTTGTAGTGAATTAAATGTTTGGAGTTTAAGGTTAGTAGCCTAGAAGGATTGTAAGATATAACCAGATACTTGTGCATATATATATAAAATAAGTAGATTATAGTATATGCACTATAATAAAAGAGTAATGGTTTTATCTTGGTCAATATTATTGTGAACAGGTTATGAGGAAGTAAGGCCAAGATTAGTAATAACTTGGTTGTAATGATCAGTCAAGAGATTAAAAAGAATGTTAATAATAGATAAAAGAAGTGCCAGATGAGAAAGTGAATGTTTAAAAAGTTAAAGTTGACAGAATCATATGCTTTATTCATATCTTGTAAAAGTAGCCAAATGTCTTTATAATTACAAGTAGCATCTTCAATAAGATTATTAAGAATGTGAATAGGTATTGAAGTGCTATTGTTGAGGAGTGCAATGTAGTTAAAAGGTGAGAGAATAGGGTTAGAAGAAAATATATTGCTTAGTCTATTTGTAAGAATTTTGGTATATAGTTTGCAGATATGTTTAACAAGACTAATAGGTTGGATAAGATTAAGATTATTATCAAAGGAATTATGTTTGGAAATAGGATAAATTCTGCTATGTTTCCATTGTTTAGGAATTTGATTTCAAGAAGACAACAGTTAAAAAGACTAGTAATAGCAGAAATGCATTCAGAGTTAAGGTGTTTTAGTATTTTATAACTGATGACTATAGGACTACAGGATTTGTTGTTAGGAAGCTGAGAAAGAGTCTGAAACAGTTCTTTATTTGTAATAGGAGAGTTCAAAGATTGGGATCAGTTTGGGTTAATATGAGGAAGTAGAAGATAGTGTTGTTGTCAAAAATTATTAAAAAGAGTTTCATTAATAGGTTTAAGTGCATTTCAGTCATGAAAATGTGATTGAATATGCTGTTTAATGAGTAGTAGATCAGTTATAAGCTTATTAGACAATTTAATATTAGAGAAGTGAACAGGTTGATGATAGTGATTAAGGATGCTATTGATAGCTTGTGTAGAATATGATGTAAGAGTAACACATCTTTTGTCAGTAGCTTTGTTGATTTGTTGTTGAAGTAGGGGAGAGTTTTCAAGGTGACAAGCATGAAAGTGTTGTTTCCAAATAAAGTAAGCATATTGAAGCTATGGTTGAATACAAGATGGATTAGTGGAGTTAAGTAATTAAAAGTCACATTGTGACTGTTTGTTAATTTAGGGGATATTTTGATTAATGTTAGAAATGTCAGAATATTGAGTGAGTTTTTTAACAAGTTTAATAATATAACTAAGTTTTTTAAAAAATAAATATAATAGGGTACTGTGAGATGAATATTGATAATTGTAGCTATGTTTACAAGAGACTTTATTGGAGATAGTATAAGTAGCAGCATAAATAATATAGCATTGAATTTTGTGCCAAGTTGTTTCAATACTTTCATCAGTTACACTATTAATAGGAGTTTTGTGCAATAGAAGTTGTTGGAATAAGGTGTCTGCAAAGGATTTCCAGTTCTCTGCAGACATAACCTTGTAGTTGAAAATACAGTAACTAATACCAGTATGTTTACATAAGAGTTTGCTATAGGCATGTGGAAATGTCTATGTGGAGATAAGAATTAGATAGTCACT